AAGTGAATGTAATGAACCCGATTGGAATTCGAATTCGGCTCTCCGATTTCTCAATAAAAAGAAAGTAAAAACAAACAAAAGAAAAAGAATCCGGTACATGAGACAAGACGAATAACCCTGATTTGAAAATAAAAAGAGATTTGATCCCAAATACTGACACCCAATCAATGTATCAGAAAACAGATGTAAAAAGAACACGAAATCAGTGATTCTTGACGCATTTACAGATTATAGAGACACTGAAAAATGAGACAAGAACCTCTGATCTAATGTCTCAAACCAATTCATATACCTCCATCATCATTATCGTCAAACCCATGACCGGGATGGACGTAAGGTTGCAGTTTCCGCCATATGTCTAGGTTTGCGTATCAGTGACGTTGTCAACCATTTTTTTCTCTTCTGTCCGCCTCTTCTCTCGCCTAACGTGAACTTATTATCCAAATCTTCATGAATAGAGCGCTCAGTAAAATCAGCGTATCTGAAATAAAACAAAAGCAATGCGGGTTCGTTATGTGTATATATATATATATATGTATATATATATATATATATATATATATATATATATATATATATATATATATATATATATATATATATATATATATATATATATATATATATATATATATATATATATATATATATATATATATATATATATATATATATATATATATATGTATATATATATATATGTATGTATATATATATATGTATGTATATATATGTATATATATATATATATATATATATGTTTATATATATATGTATATATATATATGTATATATATATATATATATATATGTATATATATGTATATATATATATATATATGTATATATATATATGTATATATATATGTATGTATATATGTATATATATATATATATATATATATATATATATATATATATATATATATATATATACGTATATATATATATATATATATATATATATATATATATATATATATATATATATATATATATATATATATATATATATATATATGTATATATATATATGTATATATATGTATGTATGCGGGTTCGTTAAAGACACTGGAACAAAGAATGAAATATTTATGGTCAGAAAGAGCAATACAAATTCAAAAGGATCTATAAGCATGTTTTATAATTTATCGAAAGCGTTTGTTAAAATAGGTAAAAAATAACTGCTGGAACTGTTAGGTAACCTTGACATAGTTAGGAAGGTGGTTAGAATGATCCAGAATCTATATTGACAACAAATCATCTGATAAGAAATAAGTTCATTAAATATACAAAAATTAGAAGGGATATAAGACAAGGATGCGCCTTCTCGCCAGACCATTTCAATCTGTACAGCGAAGTAATTCTGAGAAAATTAGAAGTCTTGCAAGAATTCATTATTGGCGATAACAATCTTAACAACGTTAGATATACAGATGACACAGTGTGGATAGCAGACCCAGAAAAGAAACTAGAAGAACTTTTGCAGAAGGAAGTGAAGGAAAGCGAGAAGAAAGGAATAAACATCAACTGCAAGAAAACTGAATGTATGGTCGTTAGCAAAAAGAACAGCCCAACATGCAAATTACAGGTTGGAGATAACGGAAATTCTACAGGGTGCAACAATTTAGATATCTAGGAAGCGCATTAACAGAGGAAATTCGAAGACGCGTTAGGATAGCGAAAGATGTCTTTGAAAAACTGAGCAAAGTATTAAGAAAAAAATATATTATTAGAAACAAAGAAAAGAGCACTGAACTGTTAATTAATATCGGTCCTCTTACATGGCAGTGAATGCTGGACAATCTCCTCACCGATAATGAAGAGACTTGAAGAAAGAAAAATGTGGTTCTACAGAATGATGCTGGGAATAAAATAGACCGTATATCTGAGCAATTATATTTTAAAATGTGGTTAATATTATGGTTACATTTAATGGTTAATTTAATGATTAATTTAATGGTTAAATAATATATGACCGATATTTTAAAATGTTTTTAATATAATGGTTAAATTTAATGGTTAAGTTAATGGTTAATTTAAGAAAAGAGCACTGAACTGTTATATAATCAGTCCTCTTACATGGCAGCGAATCCTGGACAATCTGCTCACAGCTGAAGAAGAAACTTGAAGGGACAGAAATGTGGTTCTACAGAAAGATGCTGAGAATATTATGAACCGAACATGTGAGTAACGATGAAGTTCTAGAGACAATGTCAACAAAAAGGACCCGTATGTTTAACATCAGGAAGAGACAGTTAAGGTTTCTGGGACGCATAATGAGGAAGGAGGGATTGGAAATTTTGATACAAGACAGATTGAAGGTAAGAGAGACACAGGAAAGCAATGCATAACCTACCTGGAGAGTTTAAGTGAATGGATGGTTGAGCAGGTTATAGAAGAGATGGCAAAAAAGACAAACATTATTAAAAGCTATAAGAGAGAGGAAATTGTGGAGAACCATGATCGCCAACATCCTGAAGGAACACAGCATGAAGAATAAGAAGAAGTAGAAGAAGCAAAAGAAGAAGAACCTTATCTCAGTCGTATCCCATATACTAGTTCCTATCTCGGTGGTGTACCAATGTTTGAGTCAGCACATTTTTTTTCTCTGTCTACACCTTTTTCTCTTGCCTAAGCTGTTACCTTGTAGAATGATAATGGAAACATTGTTGGCTCCTGTAACGTGACCATACCATTTTAGGTTCCTCTTCTTGACGGTGGTTATCAGGTCTTCTAACGGGCCTGTTTTTGTCTGATGGGGAGTCATTTGTGACGGTCTACCTAGGGTAGTTCTGTAGCAGCTCCTGTCTAATGCCCAGAACACGAAAACAAGGCCACACATCGCGACCAGACGGACACTCATCGTGACCACAAGGACACACATCGCCGTCAAAGAACGAATGAATGAGAACATTCTTCATTGAGAAACTGTTTCTGCTTCAATCACTGGACGAGCCAATATTTAATTCCTGTGATAGACTTAGTGCGGCTATGTCAGTCCAGGTTAATAAGCAACTCAAATACTATGAGATCAATCCTTACTAGACGGCCAATTGCCTTGGCCTTGTTCAAGCCTCTTTATCTTTATCCTAGGACAGAATACCTCGTGAACATGATATTCGGATAGTGAAGGATTGCTTTTTTCTAAGTTTTGTATATAAGTTCAAAACGGCGCGATGTCATCAGAGGGTTGAAAAAACTGAAGCGTTGATACGCTTTCCACATCCAGATTTCATAAACAGGCTAATTGTTGTAGAGTAGTTTTTCACAGTGGAGGCTTGTATTTCACTCAGTCGGTCCTAAATTAGGTTCGACGTACAAAACGTTAGGAACTTGAAAATAATAGTTAATGACGCAGCAATCTAGTTGTGGTGGTTCATACCTTAATGTCCGACATCGACTGACTCACACAACTCACTCAGCTCCACTGGCGACTGCTACTACTACTACTTATTATCTGTGAGAGAGTCTATTTACAATAGAAATAGGTACGTTCCGGTATAACACTAATGCCGCTCGTGACGGAATGTTAAGCCAAAGAATGCGTTACCCTGAAGTTCTGCTTCCCGTTGCTTTTTCTCTCGTCTAGGTACCATAGTGAAGAAATCATCCGAACAATTACCATGAAAGTATTTATAGAAAAGGCACAGAGAAGCTACATCGCGGAAGTGGGAAAGTGACTGAAAATGAGATGTCAGGTCAGGACCAATAATATTTGCTGGTTCTTCTCTGGATTTTATCAAGAATCTCTAAATATACAACAGGAGTACTGGACCATATGTAGCAGTAATATTCAAAGCATGGACGAATGGTTGACTTATAAATATGTAAGATATGGAGAGAAAAATCGTCTAGCACGATACAGTGAATCGGCTTTCTTAGCAGCTGACCTAGCAATGAATTCAATATAATCTTCCCACTTCATATCAGCCGAGAATGTTAGCCCGAGAAGCCACAACTAGTCCCTTTCCTTTTTTCATATATTAGAACAATTTTAGGAAAATCTATGAGAAAGTGCAAATATTTTTTCGCTTCGTCTTTTAGGACTTTATCGAACTAAAGTGATGTTAACATTGATGTGAAATTAAAAATATAAGATGGTGACAATTTATCCATCGCACCCTGTACATACCAGGAGCAACAGACCATATATAGTAGTAACATTCAAAGCATGTACGAATGGTAGACTTATAAATATGTAAGATAAATTCTGGAGAGAAAATAATGTCTAGCATGGCACGCTGAAATAACTTTCTGAGCAGCAGACCTAGCAATGAATTCAATATAATATTTCCACATCATGTCAGCCTAGAATGTTAGCCCGAGAAGGCACAACGACATATTGTGTTCATTTAAATTTTCTTTTTCTATAGTTCGCAGATATTTTTATAAATTTATGAATAAAAAAATGTTACTGTTATAAAGACGCCTTCCAAAAGCTAAGCAAAATATTAAGAAAATGAAAAAAAGGAAAAGAAAAGATTGCTGAACTGCTATATGCGTCCTCCTATATGACAGTGTATTCCGAACAATTTCTCACGTATGATGAGAGAACTTAAGGTAACAAAGATGTAGTTCTACAAAAGGATGCTGAGAGGTCTTAAGGAAAATAAGAACAAAAAGGACATTTATAGTTAGAATCAGGAAGAGATATTTGTGACACACAGTGAAGAAAGAGTGCTTTGAAAATTAAAACACAGGACATATTGAAAGCAAGAGAAGACGGAAATATAGAGAAGGTTACGTGAAGAATTTGTGTAAATTGATGGCAGAATATGGACTGTGAGGGATAGTCATCGGACAAACATTGTTTAGAATTACAAAGGAATGGAAGTTGTGGAGAGCCGTGACCATCTATACCCTGAAAGGACGTACGCATAAAAGAAAAAGAAGTTAGTAATTTTTTCAAGTAGTCGAATTTTTAAGAATAAAGATCTGTTAACTGTAAATTTACAGAATTCATTGTTGTCAGCAAAAAGGATAACACAAGCTGTGAGTCACGTACTGGGAATGTCAAAATCAGATAGATAGATAGATAGATAGATAGATAGATAGATAGATAGAGAGACAGAGAGAAGAGACAGAGAGACAAAGAGAGGGGAAATAAATGAATTAACGACAAATCGACAAATGATTAAATATAAAATGTCTATCAGAGACAGATGCATTCTAATTCAGTGGTGAATATTAATAACATAGATTGAACATATAGGACAATTTTCAGTTCAAAATTCAAATAATAAATGTCAGGTTATGTATTTATTGATCCAACCTCGTATATATGACAAGAAAAGAAGGAGAGAGAGTGAGAGTGAGAGAGTGAGTGAATGAATGAGAGGAGGGTGGCAAGTAACAATGTTTCTTTAGCAGAGAATTGAATAGGACAAGATAGAAAAGAAAATGAGAAAACAATAGAGACAGCGAAGAACAAAGAGAGAGAGAGAGAGACAGACAGACAGACAGACAGACAGACAGACAGACAGAGAAAGAGAGGAGAGAAAGAATAAACAAAGAAGATAGATAGGAGAGAGAGAGAGAGAGTGAGAGATATAGGTGAGGAGAGAGATCGAGAGTTTGAGATGAGAGAGAAGGGCGAGGAGCGGTAGTAGAGAGTGTGAAAAGAGAGAAAGAAGAGAATAGTAAGAGAGAAAGAGGACAAAATGTATGAAAGGAGAGTAAGAGAGGAAAAAGTGAGTGAAAGAGAGAGAGAGAGGAGAGAGTGAGACCAGTTATTATTATAGAAGGAGGTAAGAAAGATTGAGTGGAGAAAGATAAGTGAGAGAGAAAGAGAGTGAAGAGAGATAGGAAAGGGAAAGAGAGAGAGAGGGTAAGATAGAAATAGAGAGAGAGAGAGAGAGAGAGAGAGAGAGAGAATTAAATATCTACGAGAAAGAAATCGGATGACCTCATTTTTCGTCTTTTGACCCGAGATAATCTTTGAAGAGGCGTCTCCGAATTCGAGAACGAACATCAAAAACGGGTATTGATATAAGTAGAGGACTTTTTAGTGGATAATCTATCACTCTCAACCGATAAGCTACTATCGATATTTAGTTTTTGTTATCAAACTGCTTACGTCTTATCAATTTTGGTAGTGGTTGCAGCAGCTTTTATTCAACTCATAAAGTGCAATCTGCAAATCGGGTTCAAATTCTAACCTCGTGACATTAACTTCGCATTAATGTCCTTTAGAAAGACATCAATTCACTTCTCTTTTCCTGCAAGAACACTCGTTGGTCTTAAATCGGTATCACCCCATGCAAGACAGTAAAGCCACTAAGACACAAGGGCTTATAGGAACAGAAACATTAATAATGAGCGGGAAGAGGAAAGCGTAATAGTCGGAGTGGGAGTAGGCAGCGATTGACATTGCACTTATATTTTTGCAGATTAAAGTTAGCCGGAAAACATGGAGCTGGAAGGGATTCCTACAAACGAGAAGTACGAAAAAAGAAACTGTTAGCATAGAACTTACGGCTCCACCTCGCCAACTCAACTGCAAATTGATGAGATCTTGACGCCAGTCTAATACTGCGCTTAAATTTTAAAAACTGTCTATTGGGGTGGGTGGCATTTAGCTTAGTTTGTATTGCACAATGTCTGACGGAAACCAATTAGTGTCTTTATAGTCATTTATTTCCAGTAAACACCAGTTTCTCATGTTTACCAATACAGACCAATAGCTAGGCAACAATGCTAAGTGTAGCAGTGAATGTTCAACTTAGTTTCATAAATTGTTTCAATAATTATCACCTTAAGTGTGTAATAGTGAAAAAAATATATTGGACAACAATTCAGAATCGGGGAGAAAACCTGCGATCATTAGGGGAGGAATGTAACCCAGAGGACTCAGTACAGCAGTATAAGGATTTAATCCAAGGATTTTTTCTGAGCATTTCATTCCAAGCAAGCCAATAAAGCCACAATACGTAATAGATTATTGGGAAAGAAAAAATGATTTATTGAAGGGAAAGGCCAATAAAAGAACAGGATTTAGGAAGAAGGAAGATGGCGATTGATTTTACAAGAAGGACGAGAAAAGAAACTATTAAAACAGAACTTACAGATTACATCTAGCATGTTTCAACAGTAGCCAATCTAGTAAATCTAGTAAATCTAGTAGTACGCTTCAGGCGGTCGATGTACCAAGAGGAAGGATTATTAAAACAATTACCACGAAAATATTTCTAGAAAAGACCGAAGGAAGTCACGTCATAGTGGTAGGAAAGTAACTGAAGTCGGGATATCAGCCCAGGATCGATAACATTACAGACGCTACTTTTGGTTTTTGATAAGAACCTCAAGACATATAAGCAGGAGCACCAGACCAAATGTGGCAGAAATATTCGATGCACGGACGAATGGATTTATAAACTCGTAATATGAATCATGGAGGGAAAAATTGTCTGGCACGACACAGGGATCCAACTTTACGAGCAGCAGATATTGCAATTCGATTCAATATAAACATTCCACTTCATGTCACTGGAAAACGTGAGACCAAGAAGGCGCAATGAGTTGCCCTCCGGGAGGTTAGCATCAGCCATGCTGATGGAAGGCAAGTATAGTTCTCAAAGACGACTAAAAGTTTCATTTTGTAGTGGTTAAAAATAAAAAGCCATTCCTTGCCCCAGTTAACAACTGATTGAAGGTCATTTTCGAAATAAGCTGCCAGTTTTAGTTTATTGGACTTACTATTAAGACAGGAGTAAATAGCTGTGTCATTAGCATAAATACTAAGTTTGTGAACAGACGACATCAAGAAGGTTGTTAATGAAGATAAAATATGACGCAGGTGCAAGGATAGAGCTCTGGTTGACGCCAGAGTTAACGTGAAAGTATGTAGAAGACTGGCCGTTCAATGTGAATTTCATTAAGACAATTTGTTAAGGAAGATTGGGTCAAGTCAAAAATGTGGCCGAATATACCATAACCTTTTGACTTGAAGAAGGCCAACATGCCAAACCATGTCAAACCATACCGAACACCTTCGAGATATCTAAAGCCACGTATCAACGATGTTTAGAAGATGAATGAATATTTGTACTAATGTAAATAGTGCATTAAAGAGAAGACAATACTTAGTATGAAAAAAAAAACAAACAAACATCTTATCATGATCACCATGACTGCATCAATCATCGGGGTTACCTAAGGGTAAAAAAAAACCCCAAAAAACACCCAAAACATCCTTTAGGATGATCTGTTTGCGGTGGCTTTTAGGAGTTCCGATATTGTCATGTCACTCATCTCTTTGATTTTGTCGGATTTTGTCTGATCAGCTCTTTCGTTTCTGTCCTCACGTGCGTCCACCTTGCATGATGGTCTTACAGAGGTGGTTGTGCCGTGTGGCGTGGCTAAACCGTGCCACCTTGCGATGCTTAATAGTGACGAGAAGAGTTTCTTGTCGGCCCAAGAGACTTGCAGCATAAATAATCATTGGTTTTATGTTCCCAGTAGGAGGAGCTTTCTCAAGCATTTATTCTCGAACGCTTGGCTCCTCATAAAGGCATCCATAATAGATCAGAGAACGAAACTATTTAATATTGTGTTCTCCTTTTTGTCTTTGATTGTTGCTCTGATAAGAAGACCGATAAACCAGTTTATATGCTTCGTTTTTGTTTTGTTTTTTACTACTACTACTACTACTACTACTTGTATTAATAATAATAATAATAATAATAATAATAATGACAAACGTTTGGGAAGGGCTATACAGAAAGTAGTAGTGCCCTTTGGAGCACTGGAATGTTGTAGAAAAATACAAAACAAAAAAAAAAAACAGCCTGTTTGTAAAAAGAAGAAATGATCTACTTCTACTACTACCACTACTACTACTAGTAGTAGTAGTAGCAGTAGCAGTAATAATAATAATAATGACAAATGTTTGGGAAGGGCTATAAAGAAAGTAGTAGTGCCCTTTGGAGCACTAGGATGTTGTACACCCCCCACCACCAAAAAAAAACAAAAAAAAAAAAAAAAAAAAAGACAGCCTGTTTGTAAAAAGAAGAAATGATCGGTGTATTTTCTTAAGTCCAAGTGATCTGAAAATAAACATTTTTTTTTACTTTTTACCAGCAACCAACAGCTAATAATAATAATAATAATAATAATAATAATAATAATAATTTAAGCTAATATATATTTTTGTTAATATATATATATATATATATATATATATATATATATATATATATATATATATATATATATATATCATAAATACGAATGCCAGTGTGTCACACTTTTTCAACTTTACTCCTAGAGACCATAGCCTAATATTTCATACCATTTTGGAATCAGGTTGATTCCGGGAATAAATTTAAAACATTCCAATCCAGATCCGGTCCCGTAATTCTGAAATTTTGGATTCCCAAATTTTCATTAATGCAATTGTTTTCGGCGATTTGTTACGTGATTTTTTTGCGACGAATTTTTTTGCGACGAATTTTTTTGTAACAATTTTTATAATTTGGAAGTAAATTTGAGAATAATCGAAATTAATTGCAAAATCCAGCAAAAGTCAGCAATGAAATAAAAATATTTTTGTACGAAAAGTAAGGACCTACGTACATCAAATTGTCTTTAAGTGTCAGCGGAAGAATTATCGTTGAACTTTTAAAAGGTAAGCTTAAATATTAATGCAATACTTAAATGTAGCGATCAATTTTGAGTTCATCTGTAGTTTATTGCACCTACTTCTCCCTGTCTATTGTGATGAAGGCCCAATCAAGAGCCCTCCGCAGGAGCTAGCTTAAATGCCACCCGATAGGGCGGCTTTTAAGCAAGTGTATATATATATATATATATATATATATATATATATATATATATATATATATATATATATAAAGGACGAATATTTTCTATGAAAATTTCTTGGACATTCAGGCCGGTAAATGTTATTTAATACTGTTTATTATAAACAGAGCATTTACTTAAATACTTGTATCTATAAAAAGAACGTTAAACATAAAAATGTCTTTAATATATATATATATATATATATATAAAGTGAACATTGAAGTCAACATTCACAGGCGACAGTCTGTTTCTTGCGTCTAGCATGAAATAGACTGTCGCCTCTGAGTGTTGATTTCAATGTTCACTTTATATTTTTATATCTATATTTACATACGCTCTATCTCTAATATTGAGCCCGTTATCCCATAAATATAGCACATCTTAAAACTATATATATATATATATATATATATATATATATATATAGTGTATCAAAAATAGTTTTAGAATCTTTGGAGGCGAACACCAGAACAAGAGCAAAAGCCCAATAAATACATGTTCGAAAATCCTTCGTTTTTGAGTTATTAAGTTTAAAGAAAGTTTATACTAGAGGCGCTATGTTGCCATGTGGAGAAGTGTGTTTCCGCCAGGAAGAAGCATGTTCGACGGAAAGAAAACAATACAAGATCAGAGGAGAGCATCTTCACATGCATTCGTTGCAATCGAGACTGTCACTCTCGCGTGGGCCAGTACAGCCATAAAAGACGGTGAACCACCATCAGCAGCTGAGATATACCTCTTTTTGGGCAGACCCATGATCTCTCGAGATCGATAGATGCTACATATATTATTATGTAAATAAATGATGTATTCCGTTATAAAATATCGATTCCAGTTTTTGTTCAATGACTTCCGCCTGAAATTTTTACAATATTTTAAAATTGTTAGAATCGTTGTGTAAAAAAAAAAAAAAAAAAAAGAGTGTAGTATAAAACGAAACAAGTGATTGTCGGAAAATGTAAGAACGAGGGAATATGTTGCCCGTGAAGAAATACTTCCTCATCCTAGATCCATAACCCTTTGGTGTGCCGCATTTGCAGCATGAATATAGGATAGTCGACTCCTTTTGCCAGAAAGAAAATATCTTTTCTATTTAGTACATCATTAAAACGACTTGATTGATTTCTAATTTTTCTGCAAGTTAACATGTTGTTTCGATATTAAATCCTTTAGTACAATAGATCCTTAAATTCGTCAGTTTTCCGGTTCTGAGAGTCCTCCACGGCGTTCTTGCGATTAAACTCCCCCCCTTTTAAACTTCGTTAGTACTCCGGTCTGAATATGCAAGTAACGATGAAATTTCAAGGAAAATTAAAGGAAAATGAAATTTATAATTAGAATCAGAAAGAGTTGAAATTTCTAGGACAAATAATGAGGAAGGAGGGCTTGGAGAGTAATACACTCACAAGATATACTAAAGAGAAATATACTGAGAGAAAGAGTGGGGAAATAGCGAATAACTTAATGAGTTTGTGTAAATGGTGATTATCTAAGCGTAGATGTAGCACAAGACTGAAAGTGTGGCGTAACCAGTGAGCATCAAATTCACTACTGAGTCGTAATTGATCTAGCGAGACTAGTTTGCTAAACATCACACCGCATTGAAGTCCCCAAGGAGGATGTGTAAATAGAAGACAGAACAGTGAGAACTAAAAGAACAAAACTTACTAAGGTACAAAGTATAGATAATTTTGGAAAACACTGATCGCTCTTCTCCTGAGGTGGTACGGAACGAAGAAAAACCATTCTCCACACATGGTTGCACCTACTTAATCATCACCATAAACAACTGGTCTTTTCCCTGGATTAAACATCAAGAGACAATGGCAAATGTGTAATTTAAATCCAACTGGGACAGATAGCGAAATAAAGTAAATTAATTGGTGCCACATATGGTCAGATGCTTCTGTTATATAGTTAGAGATTCTTGATAAAATCCAAAGAAGAATCAGTAATATTCATGGTCCTGATCTGGTGTCGTAATGTATTTTCTCTGTGCAATTTTCTATAAAAAATACTTTCATGGTATTTGTCCTGATGAACTCTTCGGTATGATAAATAGACTTTATGAATTTCAGTGCAGAAAGAAATGGCAAGCTACTGCTGGAAAATCTATTGCCTATTCAGTCATGAATCAAAAGACACGATCGTCTAAGGGTGTATCACGTATGGCAATTAACTGACTGATTTGGATAAAAGGATTGAATAGCAGGATAGACAGTCCTATATCTTTGGTTGGCAACCAGTCTACCACAGAAAGAAATGTCAACCTCCTGCGGCAAAAAATCTTCTCCCTAGTCAGCCATGAATCGAAAGAGACATACGCACCCAAGTGTATATTGCGTATGGCAAATAACTGATTGATCTGGATGAAAGGATTGAATACAGCCTTGAATGGCAATCAGACTACCAAAGAAAAAATATCAATCAACTGAGTGAAAATCTTCTGCCTAGTCAGTGATGAATCGAAAGAGACATACCTATCCAAGAGTGTATCGCATATGACAATTAACTATCTGATCTAGATAAAAGGGCGTCCTGGGTAAGACGTTAAACTACATCCGTGTCCTAGGTAAGACGTTAAACTACATCCGCGTCCTGGGTAAGATGTTAAACTACAAGGCCTTTGATCAGGAGGTTTTGAGGAGTGTGGAACCACCTCTTAATTGCTGGTGTTCCCAGGTCCACCCTGAACCGGGGTGAGAGCACCTGTTAGGGTCCCAGCTTCGGCCAAATAATTAAATATTACCAGCAATACTTTTTTGAAAAAAATTATTACCAGTAATACAATTTTGAAGGAAATATATTACCAGAAACAGATTTTTGACAAAACAAAATATTACCAGCAATAAAAATGTTTGTCAGCATTAAATAACCCATTGAGGTTGATATGTCGGTAAACAAAATAAACCAAACCAATCTAAACCAAAAAATAAATATTCTATTCATACGAATCTATCCTAAAAATGTTCTCGGCATTAAATAACCCATTGAGGTTGATATGCCGTTAAACAAAATAAACCAAACCAATCTAAACCAAAGAATACATATTCTATTCATGCGAATTTATCCTAAAAATGTTGTCGGCATTAAATAAGCGATTCAGGTTGATATGCCGTTAAACAAAATAAACCAAACCAAACTACATAAAACGATTGAATAGCAGGACAGGCTGAGTTCTATAGCCTTGATTGGCAACCAGTCTACCACAAAAAGAAATGCCAACCTACCGCGGAAAAATCTCCTGCCTAGTCAGTCACGGATCGAAAGAGACATATTTACGCAAGCGTGTATCCCTTATGGCACTGTATTGACTAGATTAGCAACAAGGCCTCGTCAATTTACCGTTGAATTGGCTAGATCTAACCGTAAGTTCTATGCTAACAGTTCCTTTTCTTTCGCTTCTCCCTCATGGGACTCTCTTTCGGCTTCATGCTTTCCATCCAACTTTGATGTTCAAAAAATTAAATGAAATATCAATCGCTATCTACTGTCTTCCTGACTTTTCTCGTATTGTTCTTGCTCCTTAATAATGTTTCTCTTTTTTTCTCATTCTTTCACATACAGTAACCCCCGTTGCGTCTTAGTGGCTTTACTGCCTTGCTTTGGGCGAAATGATTAAAAAATAGCATATCTTTTTTTAAAGACAGGATCAATCACCCGCACTTAATTGATTATAATCATAAATATACTTTTCTCCTTCAAATCTAATCAAGTCCATCAGAGATTAGTTCGACTGTTTCATGGCACGTGCTCTTACATTGATAACATATTTTATACGCTCTATGTCTTTACCCTGTTTTAAGTCCACGACTGATCCAGAAATGATACATCATTATATACTACGCCCAGTTTAATCTGGACATGACAACTATGAATTTTGCTCAACGAGTCGGCCAAGCTTATATAATTATCGATTATTTGAGAAAACTTATTAAGGAAAATACACCCTTTTTAATAAGAAGTCTCGAATACTTGGGTCGGTAGACGAAAATAAAATACTGTTTAAAAAAATAAACGGAGCGTCTACTTTAATGTGGTTATCCACTAAAAATAACGTTTACAGTGATTAAAAAACATATTTATTACTTTAAACGTTATTTTAATGGATGCCCATATTTGAGTAGACCGTCCTTTTATTTTTTTAAACAATATTTTACTTTGTCTACCAGCCTGAATATTCGAGAAATTTAAAAAATGCGTAATTCAGTAGAACTTGCTCGATCGTGAAGCTTTTCGTGGCCGAGTAGTCAAAGTACGTCAGATTAAATGGCGATTTCTCTTGTTAGGGGAGGTGATGAAGGTTCGATCCTGTTAGAGAGCGCATTTTCTTTTCGAATACTCAGGTCGATAGAGTGTCTACTCAAATACGAGTAACCACTCAGAGTAATGTTTAAAGTAATAAAAATTATATCAGATTAAAAAAATAAAGTTCATGAATTCTTTTACCACACACAAAAGACATTGCTTAAACATAAGATAAATTAAGAATAAATATAATTCCTTTAAAGGATATGTGGAAATAACCATTTTTCGCCTGATGAAGGTCACAAGACCCGAAACACGTGCAGCAAAATATATGGAAAAATAAAGTTTAATATATAAAAAAAATCCACATTATAATTAAAAACGTCGGCGGCTTCTCTTTGCTTTTGAGAAATTGTATAAAATAACAAATAAAAGTACCTTGTCTGTCGTATTCAATGAAATGTGCATATATATATATATATATATATATATATATATATATATATATATATGTGTGTGTGTGTGTGTGTGTGTGTGTGTGTGTGTGTATGTATGTGTGTGTGTGTGTGTGTGTGTTGTGTGTTAGGATATAGAATCCGAAAATAAGTGCAAAAATTAAACAAAGTGCAAAAGCTTTTCATTGACAACTCGTTTCATCTTCATTACTTAGGCGTCTTCATGTCAGATTGACACAGATTTGTCTTTCATTCTGACCTGAAGACGCCTGTCTAAGTATGGATATGAACAGACGTAGGAATGGACCAGCGATATGACTATAGAGCTGATGTAGACATTAGAAGGAACCACAAACACATTCCTAAACAGGAAACAAGCGATAAACCTCTACTTCCGTTTGAAAGATCGGAGAGGAGCCTGAACCGGACAATATATATATCTACACACACACACACACATATACATATATATATATATATATATATATATATATATATATATATATAAGAAATATACTCTTAAGGTGTGCTATATTCATGGGATAAAATGCTCAATATCAGAGATAGATCGTGTGTAAATATAAATTTGAACATTGAAGTCAACACTTAGAGGCGACAGGCTGTTTCATGCTAGACGTAATCGTTAGGCTACCGATTGCGTCTAGCATGAAACAGCCTGTCGCCTTAAGTGTTGACTTCAATATTCACTTATATATATATATATATATATATATATATATATATATATATGTGTGTGTGTGTGTGTGTAGATAGATAGATATAATATAGATGATAGATAGATAGATATAATATCAATAAATATATATATATATATATATATATATATATATTGTTATCCACATAGAGACTCTTTCCTTGCTTCACTGCTCATCAGTGTGGCTAGGCATCCGATTACCTCAAGCCGGGATTAAAAACCTGACTGATATATATATATATATATATATATATATATATATATATATATATATATATATATATATAAGCGTTACGCGGTCACTGAAAGGATAAGCTCGTAAAATATTACAGTATCCAAAAACTTGAATGATCACTTGGAACTTACTTGATCAGCTCGTGGATGTGTTCGGGACGAAAACTTGTGTCTCCAAAGCCTTGACTTGAGGTTTACAATTCCTTTTTCGTGTATCGTTCCCTTTTCTATCTTAGAAGTGTCGGACATAATAGAATAATGAAACAACTTCGAATTTAATTTGTTTTTTACGTTGTTGCTTCAGGAACCTAAGAGCATATTATGCAGGTACTAATTACTTGCCTTGAGAGAGCTTCTGGTGTGCTTGATTCAATTGGTCTTTACTTTCCAACATAGTGTTTATTTCATCGATTGCCACGTGACTTGTGAGGAAGGGACAAAGTCGAGGAAAGATAAGAAGAACATGGAAGGAAACATGTAAAACAACATTGTGCCTTTGTGATCTTGGCTGCTGATAAAGTCATGATATTTGAAAAAGAAAATCAAAATTCACTTTTCAAGAAATGATTACAATGCAGAAAAATTGTGTTCGACTTGCCATTGATTTCATTTTTCATTTTGTATGTCTGTTTTATCTCAAAAACTGATAATCGTAATTTCGAATATTGTTTGTAATAACATAGAAAATCTCTAATCTACTCTGTGGCTGAAATAGTCGCATATTTGACATCAGTATTAGAAACTGGTGCTCGGGCCCGAATAAAAACAGGGATTTTTGAATGCTACCTATTTATCTCAGTCTCTTCATATCTATCTATCTATCTATCTATCTGCACATTTATATATCTTTCTTTCTTTCTTTCTTCATATCTATATATCCTTCTTTCTATCTTTCTTCATATCTATCTATCTATCTATCTATCTATCTATCTATCTATCTATCTTTCTATCTATCTGCACATTGATATAGCCTTCTTTCTTTCTTTCTTCATATCTATATATCCTTCTCTCTATCTTTCTTCATATCTATATGTCCTTCTCTTTATGTATCTATTTATCTATCTGCACATTTATATCCTTCTATCTATCTATCTATCTATCTATCTATCTATCTATCTATCTATCTATCTGCACATTTATATCCTTCTATCTATCTATCTATCTATCTATCTGCACATTTATATATCTTTCTTTCTTTCTTTCTTTCTTCATATCTATCTATCTATCTATCTATCTGCACATCTATATATCCTTCTATCTATCTATCTATCTATCTATCTATCTATCTGCACATTGATATAGCCTTCTTCTTTCTTTCTTCATATCTATATATCCTTCTCTCTTTCTTCATATCTATCTATCTATCTATCTATCTATCTATCTATCTATCTATCTATCTATGTCTCTTCATATCTATTTTTAATCACCCGAAGCAATGCAATAAAGCCACTAATATAGAAGAAATTATTAACATTGAACCTACGATTATATCTAGCCAATTCAACACTAAAATTATGAGATCTTGTTGCCAATCTTGTACCGTACTTAAATTCATATATTCTACGTACCATAGAGGAAAGCTCATCAGAACAATTACCATGAAAGTATTTATAGCAAAGGTAGAGGAATGCTACATAACAAGCGGTAGGATAGTGGCTGAAGTCAATATACATGTCAGGAACTATAACTGCGTATTATTCTTTGTATTTTATCAAGAATTTCTGAATAGACAACAGAAGCACCAGACCCAATGTGTCAGAAATATTCAAGTCAGTGACGAATGGTAGACATATATGTGCAACAAATCTGTTCGTATCTATCTATCTATCTATCTATCTATCTATCTATCTATCTATCTATCTATCTCATTCTATTCTTATCAGATGATTCTTTCATGTTCTTTCGACTTTTGTTATTGCACTCTGTTAGCTATCTCTGTTTCCTTTATCGCTCTCCTTCTCAGGACTGCAATATATTAAACAAAATTTCTAATAATATAGAAATGGCACTTTCTGTACATGCATCTAGGAATATGTTTGTCATTGGTGATTTTAATGCTCATCTCGTCAAATGACATAAGCATTTTAATGTTACTGATGGTACTGGTATTCAGACTTTCAAATTTTCTCTTTCAAATCGTGTGTTTCCTACTTGTTTCTTTAATAAATTTGTTCAGCATTCTTCTTTACTTGATTTGTTCCTCACTTTATTTCCTAGCTCTTGTAAAGCATCACGACTCAGTCCTCTTGGCAATTTGGATCACGCAGTAGTATCTGTTGATCTTTTTCTTTTAATCGTCTAATAGAAAGGAACCTCCTATTCACAAGACTTCTTTTTGTTACCAGCGTAATGATTAGGATTTATTTCGTGACTTTATTCGAGTCGTCCTTTGGATTGATATTCTTAACCTTCCGATTGAGAATTGTGCCACAGATGTTTCTTCTTGGATTAATGCCGGCATTAATTTTTTTTGTACCTTCTCATAAATATCAGGTGAAACCACAATTTTCTCTTTGGTTCACACCAGCCTATTCAGGTGTACCAGCGTGATATTTCCTATCATAACAAAAGCCTATTTGTGAGTGCTAGAAATAATTGTAAACGTGTCCTTAAAGAGGCTAAGTCTTTGTTTTTTGATAGAATGAGGCACCTCTAACAAGTTTGATTTACGTAACCATTGGCGGCTCTGTAATAGTTTGTTAAATAAGATTAAGTCTTCTATCTCACCTCTCTTTACTCAGTTTGAGATGTTAATATTTTCTGTTGATAAAACAATGTTTTTGCTGGTAAATTCTCTTTAAATTCTACTCTTGTCTCATCTGTTGTACATTTCCATTTAGAACTGAGTCTCGATTGAGCGATATGCATGTAACTTATGTCCATGGTTTCTGTTATCATTTCTAAACTGTATCCTCACAAAGAATGTGGACTTGATGGCATCCCCGCAATAGTCTCTAGGAAATGTACTCCTGAACTCTCCTGTTCTCTCTAAACTCTACAATGAATGACTTTCTGGTTCTTCCTTTTCTGCTTGCAGAAGTCATAATCTTTAAGAACTCACGCGAATCACATGATCCTTCTATGAACTTTCTACCTCTTTTGGCAAAGTACTAGACGCTCTTATTAACTCTGAAGTGCTTAAGCATCTCACATCGCAGGGACTTCTTTCAGATAAGCAATATGGCTTTCGCTTCTCTAGGTCAATTGCTGATGTGCTAACGATTATTGCTGAAAGACTCTATCAAGCTTTAGATAAGAATGGTGGAGCTCGAGCTGTTGCTTTGGATATCTCGAATGCATTCGACAGGGTTCGGCAAACTGGTTTTCTTCACAAGTTGAAAGGTTGTGGTATTTCTGGATGAATCATTGAACTGGTTCAGTCTTTCTTATCAAATTGCGAAATGAACGTTGTCTTGAATGACCACTCTTCTAGATCATTTTACAAAAATGACGGTGTTTCCAGTGTTCAATCCTACGTTGTTTATAATTTTCGTTGTTTATAATTTTCATAAATGACCTTCCTGTAATCATCAGTTCTCAACTCAATATCTATGCTGATAAAACTATTTACTCCTGTCTTAATAGTAAGTCTGATCGATGAGGTCAAATTGGTAGCTGATCTCAAATATGACCCACAATCTGTTCTTAAATAGAACAACGAATGGCTTGTTATTTCTAAGGCCTTAAAAAGGAATCTGCTCTCTTTTAATCATTTGAGAGAACCCTTTTTACCCTCCATCAGCATGGCTGATGCTAAGAGAAGAGTGGCATATTTTGACTTCTCGGACTAACGTTTTCAGTTTCCATCGATTAGAAAGAGTATATCGAATAAAATGCTAAATCAGCAGCTAAGAACGTTGCTTCACTATGTCGAACAATTTTTCTCGCCAGAATCTATCTTACATATTTATAAACCTACCATTTGTCCTTACTTTGAATATTATTGTCACATCTGGTCTGGTGCTCCTGCTATATATTTAGAGATTCTTGATAAAAATTCAAAGAAGAATTTGCAATGTTATTCGTCCTGATCTGGTATCTCGGCTTCCATCCTCCGTAACGTAGATTCGAAGTGCCTTTTCTATAAATAATTTCATGGTAATGGTTCTGTTCAACTTTGATCTATGGTACTTGAAATTTATGAATTTAAGCGCAGTACTTGATTGGTGGTCAGGTCCCACCAATTTGCAGTTAAAATTCTTGGAATTCTTTAACTGCTTCTTACATCCCAGTTAAATTTGATCTTCAAAAATTAAAACGTAATGTCAATTGTTATCTTCGGCTTCTTAATTAATATTCTTTTATTTTATTCTCTCATTAATGGTAGTTTCTCTATCTATCTATCTATCTATCTATCTATCTATCTATCTATCTATCTATCGATCGATCGATCGATCTATCTATGTTGTCTCATTTATCTATATTTGCCTCTTCTTATCTATCTATCTATCTATCTATCTATCTATCTATCTATCTATTTATCTATCTTTATCCTTTGTTATATATATCTTTGTCTCTTCTCTATCTATCTATCTATCTATCTGTCTATCTATCTTGTTTGTCTCATCTATCTATATTTGCCTCTTCTTATCTATCTATCTATCTATCTATCTATCTATCTATCTATCTATCTATCTCGCTTCTTATCTATAATAGTCTATTATATCTCTATCTCAGTGTCTTATTTATCCATCGTAGTTTTTCTTATCTATCTATCTATCTATCTATCTATCTATCTATCTATCTATCTATTTTAGTCTCTTTTTATCGATTTAAATCTGTTCATAGCCATCTTAAAAATATTGTAAAACTGACTGTAGTTACATTTTAAATTCGATAATAAATTTAAATATTTTGTGTGTATATATATATATATATATATATATATATATATATATATAAAATAAAACTGTTTTTCAAGCAAGAAAGTATGTCTTTTCTGAGAAAAGTTTATATTAAAATAGTGTTCAACGCATAGTCCAAGAAATCTAAATATTTGTGTGTGTGTGTGTGTGTTTGTGTGCATGTGTCTGTGTGTACAAAATATTTAAAGTTATTATAGAAATTATTGAATTTAAAAGGTAATTACAGTCAGTTTTACAATATTTTAAAGATAGATAAGAACAGATTTCAAACGTTATTCTAATGGACGCGTCGCAATAACGTTTGAATAATATGTCGGATTAAAAATAAATCCATAACTTCTTTAGAATATATATACGAAAGGTATAATTAGGCTGCAAGAATTTATCCAAACAAATTTTCGTTAAAGTCAACAGACAATTTGTTTCATTTCTTCTTCCATTTTACAATTTTGGAATGAAAATTTGTTGCTAAACTGTTCGAAGTTCATGTTTTGTTGCAGCGCCATATTTTGCAAAATATTATAAAATTTTAGGACGTCTATTTCGGCCTCTGTCGGTATATCGTTTACAGACCCCACAAAAATATAGGCGGAAACATGACTGCTATGTGAAAGTATGGAAAGAAATCTCGTTTAGCGTCAAACCACTTGTCCTTCTCACCTTGCACGACGCAGAAAAAAAATGGCATATTTGGATAAAACAGTGACTGTCGTTGAAATATGGTTTTATTAAGTGAATCTCAAACGACAAAAAGAAAAAAAAATATGATACTGCATAACTGTAAACATCACGATCGAATTGGAATCTAATTAAAAAAATATGCCCGCATTCGTTTTTGTTATAGTCATTAAAACAGACATCTTTCATGAAAGAAAGCAAAGATCTAATTACTGTGAAGGGCAATTGGAAGAAAGAAAAACAAAAAGCGAACCAGCTTTCGTTCCTCTCTCTTCAGGGCTCAATCGAAGAATGAAAACGAATGTGTACTATAAGTAAAAGGGGAGAAATTTTTTGAATCAGTATAGGATATACAAATATAATAATATGCTATATATACTATATGTATAGTATATATACTATATTAATTTTTTATATATACTAGATTATACTAAGGGTGTTCCAATAACTAGAGCCGATTTAAATGTGAATTAAGTTTAAGCATTTAATGATATTTTTCTTTTTCTTTCAGATTTGTCGTACATTTGGATGATAATATTTTTCACACATAATTGCCATGACTTAAATAACAGGATTCAAAAGAGAAATAAATAAATTTTCACCAATAACACTGCTGACTTTGATCCTTCTTAATGAAACACCCGTATATATAATCCGTCTTAATGAAAAAACCTTTATATATGCATATAGAGTATAAACTGATCACATTAAAGCCTAACAGATATTCCTTCTGTTTACAAATGGAAGGCTGTAGCGACT